GGTGTGGTGATCTGGTCATTTATTTGCAAGGCTTTCCAATAGTGTGGTAATCTGGTATTTTATCTTCAAGTCTTTCCAATGGTGTGGTAACTTGGTAATTTGTCTGCAAGGCTTTCCAAAAGTGTGGCGATGTGGTCATTTATCTGCAAGGCTTTCCAATGGCATAGTGATCTGGTAATTTGTCTGCAAGGCTTTCCAATGGTGTGATAACCTGGTTATTTATTTGCAAGAGGAGTTTCTAATAGTGTGGTGATCTGGTAATTTCTCTGCAAGGCTTTCCAAGAGTGTGGTGATCTGGTCATTTGTCTACAAGGCTTTCTAACAGCATGGTAACCTGGTCATTTATCTGCAAGGCTTTCCAACAGTGTGATAATCTGTTAATTTATTTGCAAGGTTTTCCAACGGCATGGTGATCTGGTCATTTATGACATGGTGATCTGGTCATTTATTTGCAAGGCTTTCCAACAGTGTGGTGATCTGGTCATTNAAAAAATTGGAAAAGGAAATGCAGGAGGATGTGGAACACTTGTGAAACTCTTACTCGGTGCTTCCTCCAGCGCCTGGCTGAGAGAGGAGCCCAGCAGGAATTTGGAATTGTGGTTTTGGATTTGCCCCTTGGAATTCTCAGTCTGCCCTGGTGGGAGCTTCTAGTACTTATAGAGGTTCTTTGTAATTTTTATTTTTCCCCATGTAAACTGTGGTTAAGATTTTCCTTTATGCTGCTTGGGTGTTGATCCAATCAAGGAGGAATTGATGGTGAAAAATGGAAGAAGTGGGATTTTCCTTTATGTTACTTGGGTGTTGACCCAATCAAGAGGCAATTGATGATGAAATATGGAAGAAGTGGGATTTCCCTTTATGTTATTTAAGTGTTAATCCAATCAAGGAGCCATTGATGGTGAAATATTGAAGAACTGGGATTTTCCTTTACGTTACTTGTGTGTTAATCCATTTAAAAAACAATAGAGGGTGAAAGAGGGCAGGAATTATTTGTGTTTGGGCAGCAGCTGACAGCTCCTGGGTTTAATCACTGCATGGAAACACCAGAGGAGTCATTTTTTGTGTTTGGGAGAACAGGACACAGCAAATAATCTGAGCCAGAGAGAGGAAATGAGACCTGGAGTGTGATTTCTTTGGAGGAGCTGGCCAGGGCA